CTGCAAGGGAGCTGCCGGCTCAGAATGCAGGGAGGATCCGGCTCCTCTACAGCTGCTCCGGAATCCAGCCCGGGACTTTCCTGCAGCCCTCCCAGCCGCTCGCTCTGCTCTGCCGGGGGGAAATCCCGGACATTGTGAGTGCTTTACAAATTCCCCCCGGACGCTATTTTTAGCACAAAAAGGAGGACATGTCCGGGTAAATCCGGACGAATGGTAACCCTAGGAAAGGCAGCTCGGCCTCCAGCCTGCGTGCTTAAACTGAGTTGGCTGATTATGCCAGACTGTGGGCCCATGTTTTCTTTATGACACAGGCTCCTGTTCGCCACGGGTGGAGCTGACCTCGTTTTCTTTGGACCTCGTTCAGCGCCTGTGAGCAAGGGAGTAGCATTGCAGTTTGGATAATATGACAGACACAAATGTTAATGCTGTTTGATTTTTCTGAGCTCGCTTGTCCAGGTTTTGGAGAGATCTGGTTTCTCTGTGTGTGTTTGTACAGCGTGGGCTGGATTTCCTGTGGCGTTGTGGCCCCTTTATACTTTTCCAGCTACACAAAGGCAGCCAGATCTCCCCATGAGGGAATACTCTCAGCACAACTGGGTCCCCAGGGGAAGACCGGGCATGGCTGGCTCTGTGCCGGCTTCCCTTGCAGCCCCCTGTGTACCAGGGGCACATCAAGGAAAAAAGCGAGCCTGGCTGGAGTGAATTGGAGGTTTGGGGGCTGTGGGCAGCGGAGTGTGAATTACAGCAGCCTTGAGATCGCTCTAATTTACACTGGGGACTGAGCACAAAGGTGTCTCTGTCCCCTCCTTTCCTGCACTGAGCACTGCTTGGCTGGAGTGCACCATGCGGCGCTGTGTCTTTAATGGCGGCACGAATACAGATTATACAGACAGATGAGAGGGTTTTTCTTTTCAGTGTCACAAATTCTTTTTGGAATCCAAAACTGCCAAATTTCCCCCCAGTGCAAATATCTTACCCTCAGCTCAATTTGGAGCTAGGCCCCGGCAGTGCAGGGGAAATGCAGTAGCCACTAAGGGGTTTCTCCTAGCCTCCCTTGGCCTATAGTTTGGAAAACTTGCCTGGTGGCCGTTCCCTGTGTCCCTGGGGGGTGTCTGGGAAAGGGACAGCTTACAGAGGGTGGCAAGAGATTTAGATCCACAGAGCGGATGGAAAAATGTGCTCATTATACAGAGGATCCAAATGCCACCACCTTGAATGCCACCACCTTGCCAGCAGCCTTGGGGCAGCTGGTTACCAAGCCGGGATCAGGGTCCATGGCTAATTCTGAACTCACACGCTTGCTCTCTGCACAGTCATTGGGTGTGTCTTGCTTGGAAACACACTAACCAAATTAAGTGGCAAGTTGCAATTATTGAATGTAAACACTCCATTATGCTAATCGGGCCATCTGTCATATCTCATTAAGCCCAGCGCACCTAGATAACTCTATTGGGTTAAAAAAAAAACCAACCCAAAGTGAAGCACTCCAGGAGTGTCTGGCATCCTGTCAAAGGCAATCTTCATTCAAGCAAACTCATTGCTTGCATAGAACTAAGGTAATGAAGGCAGCGAGTCCAGCAGAGTGGAAGGGAGAGGTTGATTCCTGCTGGACTGGTGCATGGATCACAGGGTGGGCTAGCGGGGACACAGCTTTGGGCTGCAGGCGGAGGGGTTTTCAGTATTACTATTACTTAGTTGGGTTACTGTAGCCCCTCGGCACTCCAGTCACGGGCTTGGACCTCATTGTGCTCGGCGCTCTACAAACACAGAACACAGAGATGGTCCCCGCCCCAGAGAGCTTACAATCAAAGTAAGATGCCAGATGGATAGAGACAGATGGGGGAGTACGAGGAAACAATGAGGCGACATTGGTCAGCATGACAGGGGCCTAACTGTTGTCAAGTTTTTTTTGTAGGCATCTTGGAAAAGGCGAGTTTGAAGGAGGGACTATAAGTGGGTTTGTGGATGTGCATCCGGAGCTTCTCCCAAGCACGAGGGGCAGCACGAGAGAAAGCATGGAGGTGCTTGTTTGAAAATTTCACAAGTGGGCGATGCAGGCTGGCATCATGGACCGGATGGAGGCAGAAGTCGACGTTTCGGTGCTGAATAAGAGAGACTGGGTAGGGTGGGGCTAGATCACGAAGGGCCTTGAAAGCGAAGCCAGGCAGCTTATGTTTGGTGCTACAGAGGAGGGGAGCCAGTGGAAGGATGCAAAGAGAGGGGTGAGGCGGTCAAAGGGATGGGCAAGGAGGAAAATGCTCTTTGCAGCAGCATTCTGAATAGATCTGAACAGGGCCAGGTTGCATTTGCCAGGGCCAGAGAGACGGATAGTGCAGGACTGAGATGCAGGAGGAGGAGAGCCTGCATGACACTTTCAGGTGTGTGGATGCGTAGCAATGGCTGGATCTGATATGTCAGAGTGATCTGTTCCTTAGTGGAAGGAATGGGAAAGTGGGAAGACTTATTGCTGCTTTGTCAAGGATTTTCCAGTTTCTCAGCCTACAATTTAATTTGATTTGCTTTTGCTATGTTGCATTTTGGAATAAAAGCCCCTTCTGTGCCTTAAGAAACCTTTATGGACATCTGTTTCCTTCGTTGGCGCATCTGCTGATAAAGCACAGGAAGGGTAAGTGGGAGAGTAGGGTAAATAGATCAAGATGTGAGTTATGAGAAAACCTGACTGAAGGTGTAACGGTTCGTCTGCAGGGTTTGAAGCTGGATCCTTTAGCACCACAGAACATACACTAGCACATGAGTGTATTGAGTAAAGTTATGAGCCGGCAGCAGTAGTAGGTTGCTATCCTATAGAAAACCAGCCACAACACGCACTATTCATTTTGGCAGTGGGTTAAAAACATTCCATACCGCTCAGCAGGACTAGCCGCCACCTTGTCTTTTCCAGTTCTAATTTCTGTGATTCTCAGAGGTAGCAGCAGTACCGAGTTCACATTTCACCGCACGCGGCTCTCTAGGACATTCATGGGATTCATAGCTCAGTTCATGGGGCTTCTTAGAGGGAAGCCTAGGTGGCCATTTGGGTTTTTTTAGGGGGTTCCGCAAGGTCTGAGTTGGTGGAGAAACTCGTATTAGTGCTGCCTGGTGAGTTGATACAATGAGGACTTGGGTTTCTAGGGCTGAAGAAAACAACCAGCTGGTGACTAATCCGGATGGGTCGATCCTATTTGCTTTGCTCCTCTGCAGGGCTATTTCCGGAAAGGGAAGGTGCTGCTGGAGTTGGGAGAGAAGTCCGAAGCCTTGCTGCAGTTCCACCATTGCCTTACACTCAATCCCAGCTTCCCTGCCGCTCAGCACGAGATGGAAAAGGTGAACGTGCCCCGGGGCCTTTCAGCCAAGAGCCAGGCTCCACTTTAAACCTGTCCATTTCCCCAGGAGGTAGAAATCTGGGCATGGATTTCAGTGCCCTTGAATTAGGCAGTAAAATAAAGCCATGATACGCTCCTTTTCTCCTGGAGACTGAATCATAGAATATCAGGGTTGGAAGGGACCTCAGGAGGTCATCTAGTCCAACCCTATGCTCAAAGCAGGACCAATCCCCAGACACATTGTTTGCCCCAGATCCCTAAATGGCCCCCTCAAGGATTGAACTCACATCCCTAGATTTAGCAGGCCAATGCTCAAACCACTGAGCTATCCCTGCCAGCATGGGAGGGAGGACTAGACTGTTCCTGAGTGCAACTATGAACAGGTTTCCTTCCCCTCCCCACCACCTTCCCCAGGCAAAAGCCTTGCAGTTTTCCTTTGCATCCTGCCAGAAAACTGCCTCTAGAACCACATCTCCAAGTCTCTTGCCTGGGCAAGTCTCAGCTGAGCACTGCTCCCAGGTTGGTTAAGAAAGAGCAGTCTAGCCAGCCCGGCGTCTGGGGGATCTCAGTGCAGATCCTGTTTGGCCGGCGTCCCTCCCATTACAGAAATCACCATGACCTTTGGCACCGCTGGCTACCTCTGGCAGCCTCCATGGGCACAGAGATGTTTCCTCCATCCGAGTCCGGGGTGAGGAACATCGTTGTGGGTGGGTCAGTTTGCACTGCACTTGCCCGTGTTGTATCAGTTCTGTTGGCAATGTCCCCACGGCTGTTAATCACCACTGCCATATTCACTCTCTTCTCCCACCCTTTCTTCCCAGTTCACTGCACTGCCCTGGCATTCATGTGCCAATGGGTAGAACTGGTGTGTCACTGCAGCAGGAAACCAGGATTCTGCCCAGAGGCTCTGGAGAAGAGAAATTGGGCTTGGATCTGCCTCTCTACCCTGTCTATAGCCATCAGGCATGGCTGGAGTTTGGTCCTGCCTAGCTTTCGAGAATATATAGGGTTGGGGTGGGGAGTGGGGAGGAGCAGAGGGTGTTGAGGGCTTCGACTCTTCCACCCCGATCTAGAAGCCACGTTGCACCTTACGGTTTGCTTTCCCTGCACCAAAAATGTAACGCGACTCCTCCACCTGCAGATCCTCACACAGGCTGACTCCCCACTCCCAGGCACTGTCGTGGAGCTACTGAGTGCTGCCAGCCTGGACTTTAAAAGCTCCAACTCAGGGAAGGAAGAAGCAGACCCTCTGCTGAGGCCCTCTTCCGGAGGAGAGTACGGGCAGGTGAGGGGGCTTGTGGGGCCTGCGATGGTTATGGGTGCAGGAGCAAAGATCAGGTGAAGATAGTCACACAGAGGGGTGTGTGTGTGGTAACCAAGAGTGCTGTCATGTGCACAATGTCTTTCTCTGGGACTGGGAAGGGGATGAAAGAAAGACTGAGGGAGTTGCAGCTAGCAGAGATTCAGCACCGCAAAGGAGTGAACAGGGCGGGTTGAACACCGGGAAAGCGATACCCCCACATCTCGTGAAGGGATTGGGTAGGGATGAGAACTCCCCCATTTTCCATATATTTTCCCCCTGCCGTGTTTTTGGTAAGCAAAATATTTCCAAACTGATTTCAGGCAACAAAAGATGTGACAGCAAATTTGGGTCGTGTCAGCAATTCCCCCTCCCCAAGTTTTATTCTTTGAGGGGAAAAAAGGGGTGGGATTTTTTGGTGAAAAGCTTTACGTGAGGAAAAATTCAGGCCAGCTCCTATTGTTACGTTACCCTCTCTGGGAGACCCTGCTAGTTGAGGAGGGATGAGGAGATGCGGGAGTGTGGGTTCAAACACACCCAAGGAGTGGGCAGAGCTTGGAGAGAGTCGGCCCGTGTTTTGAGCACAACACTGGCCATCCTCTGCATGCATGATAGGTGCCCAGGTTGGATAACAAGGGGACAGCATCTTTGTTCTCCTCTCTTGTGTCTGTGTGTGTGTGTCTAAAATCCTTCCCTTGGAGCTCCCATCCCCAGCATGTGTGGAAAATCCTTCCCCCTTGTGACTCAGTAGCACAGACGTGTCTATGGAGAATGCACCGGACGCAGGGATATCAGGCTTGACTTTCTATTTTTTTGTGATCTAGGATCCAGAGAGAGAGACGGAGGATGGGAAGGAGGAAGCTTTGTCTGAACATAGCCAGTTCGAGCCTCAAAGTCCCCAGCAGCCTGCCTGGTGGCCGAGGAGACGGAAAGACTCAGGGACTTCAGCAGAGAGGCAAGAGGGGATATCATTAGGTAGGTGGCCTCGCAGGCACCTGGAAGCCCATCTAAATGACGCGAGTGTGTGTGTCACCCCATCCGCCATTGCAGGGCAAGTTTGCAGCCTTTCTGTTGCCGTTGGTACCCAAGGTGGATGGAGCTTAATATTCATGGAGAATGGAAGAGTCTCAGGCTACATCTTCACTACAGGGGGGTGTCGATTTAAGATACGCAAATTCAGCTACGCGAATAGCGTAGCTGAATTCGACGTATCGCAGCCGACTTACCCCGCTGTAGGGACGGCGGCAAAATCGACCTCTGCGGCTTCCCGTCGACGGCGCTTACTCCCACCTCCGCTGGTGGAGTAAGAGCGTCGATTTGGGGATCGATTGTTGCGTCCCAACGGGACGCGATAAATCAATCCCCAAGAGGTCGATTTCTACCCAGGCTTTGTCAGTCTCCTCTAGAGTGTGTCCCTCACCGAGCCGTGGAGAGGAGTCTACTCCAGGGACTTCTGACTGTATGCGGTCAAACTCCATCCTAGAGTCACATGCCGCAATCCCCTCCTCATAGGAAGTACAGAGGAGAAGGCCATGACCTGAACTGGACAGTGTCTATCCCCGCCACCTAGTCTCGTAGGCTGGGAGGGACTGGCTGGTATTTGGATTCAGGTTGGAGTTGTATTTGGATTTACAGCATCATGTGATTGTGAATTCCATCCCATCCCATTTGTACTGTGAATTCCCGTCTCCTAGCGCATGTGCTTGCGCTCCTCCACACCCAGCATTTAGCAGGGTGGTTTCCCCATGCACGCTCTCACTTAGAAAGGCGGCTGTTAATCCGGCTCCAGTTACAGGGTGTCTTCCGCATAGACCGGCTTAAAAGTCAAGTGCAGCTACTTTGCTGTCAAACCAGAAGCCCACCGAAGTCTGTGGAAATAGTTCCAATGTCTTCTAGGGGCTCTGGATCAGGCCCTCCATTCTGGAGTGAGAAACACTTCCCGTCCCAGATACACTGGGGGGAAAACGTTTTTCCAAAGTAGGGACTTGGCCTCAGCATTTGGCATGTCGGCTGCTGCGATACGTACACGCACTTAGATAACGCTACCTAGCACTTTGGCTTTTCCTCTTCAAAGCATTGTCTGGGTAGAAACGATGTACACTTCACACCACCCGTGGGGGGAGAGGATTAGTTTCATTCTCCAAACGGGCAAACAGACCGTGAGGGATGAAATGACTCACTCAGGCCGTGCAATGACTCAGTGGCAGGGCAGAAATGATTGCTCCTGGTTTTACGCTTGCTTCACTAGCCTTGAGACCCAGGCCACGCTGCCTGCTAAAATGTTCCATTTGAAATCCACCCGGCTGAAACCCTGCGGCTGTCTGTTGCCGGAGGGCAGATGAGGTGATCATAGAGGTTCCTTCTGTCCTTAAATCTATGAAAACTCCCAAGCACTTCTCAGAGGGCATCACTCCTTCCTCTGCTCCTTCTGCTCCTAGGTATTGGGGAGGAAACGGCAGACACAGCAGCAGCAAAATCTCGCCATCGCCACGAGCCAGAGCTTAGGGACCTACTGAGCGTGTCTGACCTGGAGTGCTCCCTCTGCATCCGGTGAGTCACCAAAGGGCTTTTGCAGTGACGGATAAACACTGAGCGGGGGCCCAGTTTGCTGGCCCAGATCTTTTGCTCACATCTTGCTGCGAAATTTTGCATGCCAAAGCACAGGCAAAGCTAAACGAGTAACGCACGGTAAAGCGTGCAGGACATGGATAACAATGTGTGGTTGGTCCCTTTGATGTTGATAACGGAGTCTGTTACCACCGGCTCATGAGTCAGCATTCCTAGTGCACTCGGTGTAATTCACTGTAATGAAAACACTAGGCTCCGGTAGGCTCGGAAGTGAGGGGCACCTTCTTTAACTGGGGACCATTGGGCATCTCTGTTGGAGAGAAACTCCAGGACTGGAATAGCAGGGGGCAATGCGAGTCTAACCAGAGGTGCATTGGCAGAGCTGTGTGTGCAGAGGAGAGGAAACTGGTACAGAAGACAGCATGCAACCAGATTGTTGGATAATATAGAGCAGGGAATGGGCTGGGGCCATGTGGCTGCATGAGCTGATAGTGAAACTTGCCAAAGGGTGTGTTAAAATTAACTTCATTATCCATTTAACTCTTCAAGTACCGGGAACCGTTACACAGCTGTCCTCCTCGCCTCTCCTGAACGGCGGTGTTGGGTTTTGCTAGCTCATGTGCTGCAACAAGAAGACAAAGATCTTTGCACGTTGCAGTCTGGCTGCTCCTAATCCTTTCCCTGCTCCTAGTAGCTAGATGGGGGTTTAGAGCAGCAAATGGGCAGCTTGGGAAATGTACCATCCCCCGTGTAAGTGAACTGAGGAGGGCGGAGTTAAAGGGGTGAATTTGGCCCGATGGACCTGAAAATTGCCAGTCGTTTAATCCCAGGACTATTTTTTGAGGAGGGGAACGAGGGATGTACAAGTGTCCAGAAGCCCAAACTGTAATGGAGAGAGAAGCCAGGAGAGAAGTGTTAGCTCAATGGTTGGTGCTTCCATTGGGCAGCATGTCATGGCCCGTTAACATCTTCTTCGAGCAGCGGGCACTGGTCCAGGGCTCTCTGCTCTATGTCCCTCTTTGGTCCCTACTCTCTTGCTGGCCCATGACCTCCCTCCCTTCCCTGCACTCCTGGGTTTGTCCCAAGTAATCTGTTACTCTCTGTGTCTGGGTGGACCCTCCCCTCTTCTGGGGGAAGGCTGTCGGGGCCATTTGGTGGGTCCTTGCTGCCTGCTACGGAAAGTCACATAGGCCAGTCATTAGCGCTCTGCTGGGCGAGGAGATCCCTGGGAACGCTCTGGAGGCAGCACGCTTGGCCTTCATCGGTGCTGGTGGGATGGAGCTTCTTACATTGCCTAACGCTGACCACCCCAGTTGCCTCCAGAGGAAACCCCTGCCCTACCTCTAGGCAGGTGCAGTGAGAAGACAGCATGGGGTGGGATCACCAGGACTCCAGCAGGGACGGAAACAGAGCTCACACCTGGAGCAGAATGCTGTGGGGCTGGCCTCCAAGGTTTTAGTGGTTTAACTCCATCGATCAGAGCCCAGGCTGCCGATCTGGGGCGGGTGATTTATACTTCTGATTAAGCAATAAGCCAGCATCACAGACAGGCTTCAAACAGGAGCATTCAGCTAACTAAGCAGCAGGCCAAGGTCGGCGTGTTCCCTCACAAACGGCTGGCCTCTCCCAGCAGCGAGAAAGGAGATCTGGGACATGGCTCGTCCCTGTAAGAAGGGGAAGTGGTACATGTGAGGCAGCCCTGGTCACATGCTGCCTTTTCTCCGGTTTGGGTCTGACTGTGCACTGGCTCAGCGGAGCTACCCTTAACGCCCACCACCAGGGACGGGAGGAGAACTAGGCCTTGTGTTTGGATATGTTGGCCAGCAGCAGACAGGACCTGAGCAAACAGCTCTGCCAGGGCTCCTCAGTCCTGACCTTAAACCTGCTGCTCCCTCCTCGGGCCTCTGTTCAGCAGAGACCAACGGCCGCACTGCGCTTTTGCAACGTGGGCAACTTGTCCCTGAGCCGTGCCCCCGAGACCACCCTGGGACTTCAGATCAGCCTCTGAACCCAGGAGCGGTTGCGTGAAGCGCTAATCCCTCTGGAAAAAGAACAGGAGTCCTTGTGGCACCTTAGAGACTAACAAATTTATTAGAGCATAAGCTTTCGTGGACTACAACCCACTTCTTCAGATGCATAAGT